TGCGTGGGCGTTGCCCGACTATTCGACAGCCTGTGGATCTCTCACTGACCGTGCGCGCCGATGATCTGACGATGAAGCTTGCTGACAGGAATGATATGATCCAAGTCGACAGCAGTGCGAGATCCAACCAGGAGCTGGATGTTGGCAGTCGTTGGCACGAGCGCCGCTGGCCAATCAACAAGTTCTCACCGCGCTCCTCGGGTATTCTGATGTTGCTCAGCCCGCGCTGGCGCCTGGCGGGCGACTGGCGAGATGGGCCTCCCCGCGGACCCACCAACTACTTGCTGATGTTGATTCCCTGGACGATTTGGACGAGCGGGCGTCCTTCATCGAGCGTCGGGACAACAGATTTATTCTCGCCTTGTCGGACCACGAGCACAGCGAGGAGTTTGCAGGATCGGCCCCCGACAACTTCGATCGCGACGACTCGGCGGTCAGATTCCCCCCGTCGCGTATTTGGACGCGGAGGAGGTTCCAGGGATGCTCCAGGAGGAGGGCGCGGAGGGTGCGTGCCGGCGTGCTCCATGGGGCCCCACTGGGGAAGTCTGCGGCCGCATCTTACGGGATCGGCGCGCGGCACACGCATATCATAGCACAGCACGGATCGCAAGAGCTTGCGCGCTTCATTTCCGCCTTGGGTCGCGGGTGGATCGATGTTGGGTCGCGGGTGGGTCGCGGGTGTAGAAGGCAGAATACAAAGCGAAACCGTTTAGTAAACGCACACAAGGAATGAATCAAACAGGGCAGGGCTGTTTAGTACACGCCCAGGGGCGTTTAGTAAACGTCAATTGTCGGGTCCGGTGTTCTTCCTCCTTCGAGGGTGGGTCGCGGGGTGGGTCGCGGGTGGGTCGCGCGGTGGGTCGCGACTGGGTCGCAGATGGGTCGCGGATGGGTCGCGGGGTGGGTCGCGGGGTGGGTCGCGGGGTGGGTCGCGCGTGGGTCGCGGGTTGGGTCGCGGGTGGGTCGCGGGGTAGGTCGCGGGGTGGGTCGCGGGGTGGGTCGCGGAGTGGATCGTGGGGTGGGTCGCGGGGTGGGACGACGACGACAAGCATTATCAGCAACAACATTAACAACGCAACAAACAGAGCTTTCACCACGAATTCACTTTTCAGCCACGCACCCACGGACAATGAATGACCGTTCGGCCCCCTCACACTTACGACGTGAACGACATCGATTGGCTCAAGCTGGCTACCGACGACGAAATTTAGTTGAAACTGGACACGCTTTTTGTCATGCCATCCGTTCCTGATACTTCCGCGGCGACAGCTCCCTGAGCAAGCTCCCAACCCGCTGGCCATGTCTGCGAGGCCAGGGCCCCACCCGCTCCGCCATGAAGGGGCCCGGGCAATCGCCCGCACGAGCGTCCCATCCCACCCCGTCCCACAATGTTTGTTTACACCGCATAGCTTGCACAGATCGTGCACCGTATCCACTGCACTGTGTAGATTGCACAGCACAGCTGGCAGTTTCGACTGTACAGAACCTATGCCGCACCACACCACTTGGAACATGTAATGTGCACCACATAGCTTGCACCACATGCATTGGGCTTCGAAGTTTGCATCGCAGCTTGCACCGCACAGCTTGCAGATTGTAGCGTGCACCGCGCAGCTGGCACCACATATTTCACATGCGTGGATTGCACGACATGTCTAGCGCCACAAGTAAAGCACCACGTCGCTTCCACCACGTACCTTGCCGCCCATGCAGTGTGCACGCTGTCACGGTGTCGGGCCCACGCTGGCAAACATCATCAGGGATTTCAACAGTGTCGGAATACCGATACGGTCTTGAGTACCCTCAAGACGGTCCGAGAGGCCCCCAATACCGCCAGGCCAACATGTCGACCAGAGGCGTTTCAAGACGGCCTGAGAGGCGCCCAAGGCAGCCCAAGAGGGCGCCGAGTTGCCCCAAGAGGGTCCCCAGGGGAGCTTCCAAGAGGGCCCCCAAAACAACCTTATAATGCTTCGAAACATTTCCCAAGGCAGCCCCAAGGGTCCCCAAGATGGCCCAGAGGGGCCCTATAGACGGCCCCAAGACGGCCTACCAGGCGCCCAAGGGGGCCTCAAATTGCCCAGGGGGATCCCCATGAGAGGCACACTCGCAACTCTGGATTAGCCTGGGGACTTTCAGATCAGACATTGTATACAGATGCGTATACATACATCAAAACATACAAACAGTCATATATTCATATATATTCATACATTCATACATCCATCCATACACATGCATACCTACATACGTACATGTCTACGCACCTACATGTCTACACACCTACATGCCTACACACCTGCATGTCTACGTATATACATACATGCACATATACACTGATACATCCATACCTACATGCATACAACCATGCACACATACATGCATACATGCATTCACACCTGCATACCTACGTACATACCTACGTGTATGCATCCATGTATACATACATGCCGTTACACATACATCCATGCGTATACATATGTATATATATATGCGACTGCCCACCAAGATCATGCAGTTTGTTTTGAATCGTATTCACGTCCATCATCTTCTCATTCGTCCTTCCCTTCCCTTCTTGCGTGCTCCCCCTTTACCAAACACAATTCCTCCTCCTCCTCCTCCTCGCCCATCCTCCTCCTCATAATCTCCTCAGTATCCGTTCTGTTCCCTCCTTATCTTAGTAACACCAAAACGAGAATACACAGTGGTTGGCGCCATCGATGCAAGGAAACGTTGTGTATGTTTGGCTATTATGTTATTTTGGTTTAGTATGCAAGGAAGCAGTGTATATGTTTGGCTATTTGGGTTTTTGGTGTTTTGGAAGCTCAAGTGCTCCCCGCGGCCTCCCCCCCAGCACCTCCTCCTTTCCTTTCCTCCTCCTTGCTGCAAAACAAGAAAACAAAACATACACATTGTTTGGCGCCCTCGGTGCAAGGACGCGCTCTGCATGTTTGGTTTTACTGGTTTGGGGTTTACGATGCAAGGAAACATAGTGATGTTGTTGGGTTGTTTTGTTTTTTTTTGGTTTGGGAAGCTCAAGTGCTCCCCGCGGCCTCCCCCCAGCACCTCCTCCTTTCCTTTCCTCCTCCTTGTTGCAAAGCAAGAAAACCATACATACACAGTGTTTGGCGCCCTCGGTGCACGGAAACGCTGTGTATGTTTGGTGTCAATATTTTGGGGTGTTTTGGTTTCGGATGGTTTCCTCCGTTCCCGGAGCTCCAAAACCCCAAAAAACAAAATAACAAAAGGTACACAAAGGTTCTGAAAGAGCGAAACAACAAAAATAACATAATAACGCAATAACGAAAAAGAGCGCTGATGAGCAAGTGCAGGGGGGGGTGTTCGGCAGGTGTGTGTGTGTGTGTTTGTGTGGTGAGGTGGAGCTTCAGCCCCAGGAAATTGTAGAAACCTGCCAGACAACAGACAATCGTTCTAGCGCGCCCACTCCATGCGGCAGGCACGATGGCGGTGAAATAGATAGAGAGATGACATAATACGAATATAATCAATAATAGTAGTAATGATAATACTACATGCTAAACAAAACATGAAAGAGAGGCAGAGGCAGCCAGACACAGACCGGGAGACTCAGGACGGCACCGCGGGAAACACGCTGCTGTTCATGAAGGTGTGGGACATGATCTTCGAAGACGGCACCGTCTGGGACCACGACTGGACGATCAAGGCCGACCCCGACGCCGTCCTCCTGTCGGACCGGCTGCGGGGGAGGCTGGAGCCCTACACCAACAACTACGACCACGGCGGCAGGCTCTTCGTCGTGAACTGCAACGCGTGGCCCGGCTCCGACTTCCCCATGATGTACGGGTCCGTGGAGATCTTCTCCCAGGCCCGCTCCGGGCCCCCTGGGGCGCTGCGCCCCCCTGGCGGGGCCGAGAGTCGAGCAGTGGCGAATCGTCCCAGCTCGCCTGGTGGCCTGCCAAAGAGTGTTCTGAGAACCTTTTTTGTGGTCCGCGCGAGGTGTTCTTAGAACATTTCTGGCCGAGACTGTCTCTTTGTTGAACACATCGGGTTGATGTTCTCAGATCAATGCTTCTGTTCTTAGAACGTCTTTGGGTTCTATGAGCACCTCGTGGTAGGCCTCGAGGAATGCCGGGATGGTCGGTCCCCGCTCAAGAGAGGCATTCACGTCCAGTCGCCCCGGGCCACAGATCGGCCCCGCCAGGCTGCCCGGTGCAGCGGCTCCCCGATCTGGGCGCTTGCTTTGTGAGAGACCGCTGTCCTCGTGGGGAGAAGAAGAGCCCCCGCTGTCCCCACCCGGCTCTCGTGCGACAGGGTTCGGTGGCAGATCATGGGAGCCTGGTATACCCTCTTCGTTCCGTCTTCGGCGTCGGCTCGCGTCGATGAGCGTCTGGGAGTCGATGGGGCAGCGCCGATTCGGCGTCGGCTAGCGTCGATTTAGCGTCGATTCGCGTTTATTTAGCATCGACTGACGTCCAGTCGCAAGCGCCGACAAGATGGTATGGGAGGCTCCCACGAGTTGCCACCGAAGCGGGGAGTGTGGGAGATGGTCGGCGGCGAACCCGGGGGGAAGTGAGAAGGAGAAGGCCTTATCAGAAGGCTCGGAAGTCTCCCAGCCTTCTCAGAAGTTTTCTGAGCCTTCCTATGCTTCCTGGATGGGGTCGGAGTAGATGGGGTCGGAGGATTGCGCCGTCGCCGATGCGGCTCGATGTGGAGCCCGATTTGCTTCACGTCGACGTCGCCGATGCATCGCCGACGTCGACAATGCATCACTGGTGCCTCACCGATGCATCGCCGATGCTTCGGCGATGTATCGGCGACGGGGCGATCCTGGGACCCCATCTACTCCGCCCCCATCTTGGAAGGCTCTACTTCTGAGAAGTGTTCTAAGCCTTCCTCGAAGATACTGAAAACTTCTCGGGAGGCGCGAGGGCTTCTGAGAGGTCTCGCCGCCTTCTGAGAAGTCCTTCGCCTTCTCACTCCTCCCCTCACTCGCCGTCGCCCCGAAGACACAGAAAACTTCTCGGCAGGCGCGAGGGAATCCGAGAGGTACCGCCGCCTTCGGAGAAGGCCTGCTCCTTCTCGCTTGCCCCCGCGCTTGCCGCCGAACAGAGGTGCCCCTGGCCCAGGGTGCCCCCAGCTTGTCGCTCCACTCTGGATTTAAGTCGGGCCTGTCCCCCATACAGGGGGATTTTCGACGAAAAATAAAACATACCCTAAACATAGTCAAACAAATCATCCGAAAATAGCCTGGGAACTGTTTGTGATGTGTGTTTTGACCTTTTTGGGGTACTTGTTTTTTTTGTTTTGAAGAATTCGTCGAACATCCCCCTGTAGGGGAACAGGCCCGACTTAACTCTGGATCCCCCCGGGGCCCTCGGGGCCTCGAGGGGTGCTCTGGAGGCCGCGGGGGCCTCAAAATGGAGCTTCTGGGGGGCACCTCCGCCACAAAACCAAACGCACCGACACCCTCCGAGGGATTGCTCCTGGGCCTCAGGGGAGCGTGGCGGTGCATGAATCGGTGGATGTGGCCATCTTCGGGCCCCCAGGTGTTCAAACACCGCCACATCTGTCGCCCGCTGGGTCCCCAGGGCGTCGGTGCCCAGGCGTCGGAGGTTGGTATACCTCCTACCCTGACACGTCGATTAGCGGATTGGCCGTGTTCGGTTCGCGAGAGGTCGTCACGGCCGTTATGTTTGCGGGTCCAGGTCCGTCGGTTTCGGTCCCAGGCCGTTTTCACTAAGGGGAGGCTTACTAAAGGGAGGTTTGCCCATCCCCCAAAACGGCGGATCTGTATAAATCCGTGCCTCGTATACTTTGGGGTCAGGAGGGGAGGCCTCGAATGTCGGGCCGCTCCTTGGGTCTGTAGCTCAGGAGGCCGATGCGTGGCCGAGGCTCGCAGGGGCCAGGAAGACCCCGCCGCTCCTTCTTCGGCCCGCGGATGGCAGCCTGGAGGGAACGGCCTATCTCCCCATCTAGGGGGGTAAATCGACCAGTGGGGCCCAGGCCACGCCGCTGGGGATGGGGGTCGGAGACACGATGCTCAGTGGCGGGAGAAGCGGGAATCCTGGCGGCGCCTCCAGCGCCCCCCCTGGCGCGCTCCGCGCGCCAGGTGAGGCGGTCCAGCGCCGATCCGAGAAAGCCGCGCGGAACTCTGGGAAGTCGTGCTGCCCCGCCCCAGTCGCCACGGCTGGATTCGCCTCGAAATCCTTGTGGCCCGCGCGGCGCCCGCGCGGGCACCTGCGCCGTGCGCGCCCCATGGGCGCAGACCCCCCGCCGCAGCCTTCGAAGGCGCCTGGGCTCGGCGCGTGCCGGGCCTCGCCGAGGGGGGGTGCCGAGGCGGGGGACCAGCAGAGGTTGGATTCCTCCTCCTCCTCCTCCTCCTCCTTCTCCTCCTCCTCCTCCTCCTCCTCCTCCTCCTCTTCGTCAAGCCCTGCTGCGGCGGAAGGACGGCGGACTTCAATTGCAAGGCGTGGCTCCCAGGGGCGTGGCGCCAGGCCAGCGGTGTGGTGGGCTGTGTCCTGGGGCCCGAGATTCGCGGCACGACGGCTGCAGCGAGCGCGCTCCTCCACGAGCGCCCCGCGCGCCCCGCGGGCGAGACGCCATAGGAGGGGGCGGGGAGGGAGGGGGTGAGACACACAGGCAGACCGCGCTCCTCGGCTGAGCCGCAGCCGCGATGTCCCCGTCCGGCAGCCCCGGCCTCGCCGCAGGCCGCCGGCGCGGCGCGCCGCGCCGGCCAGCCTCGCTCCTCGGCCCGCGCCGCCGGCACCGGGAGGAGCGCCGCCAGCCTTGCACGCCTGCCGCTTCGGCTCGGTCCAGCCTCGGCCACTCGAGTGAGGGGCCGACTGCGGACCCAGAGATCCAACGTATTGAAAAAATCAAGACGGAGGTTCTGCTAAGTTTTTGGCCTCTGGGGGCCCTCGCCGGGCCCCGGGACCGTCAAAAAACTACTCAGGACGACAAACTGGTCCCGGAGAAAGGGTCGGGACTTCCAGGGAGCCCGTATTGAAAAAATCAAGACATCGGATGTCTGGGGAGTCGATCTGCCCCAGCCTCTTTTTTTTCCCGCCGGATCGACGAGCGAGGTGCGCCTCAGGCCCCGCAGATCTGCGAACATGCCGCAGTCGATCCCCGCTTCTCGGGCCGGACGAGAGGGGGGGAGATAGGGAAAGGGGGCGGCTCGAAATCTGCTGCATGCAGCTGCTTTCGGCCCCGCCGCCGGGCCCATTCCTCGATACATGGCCGCCTCTGGCGCCGGGAGGCGCTGGGAAAATCAGCTACGTGAGCTGATTCTCAGACCCCCCCTTTGCTGTCCCCCTCTTTCGCCCAGCCCGAGATTCGAGCCGTGAGATCCCAGGCTCTGCTTGCCCCCGCGCCGCTGGGAGCGCCGCTGCATCCCTCGCCGCGGCATCCCGGCATCCCGACGGCGGCCGCGCCTGCGCTCCAGCCTTCGGTCGTGCCTGTCCCTCTACAGGGGGAATGTTCAAAAATAATTGTTAAAAATAGCCAGGGGACGATGTTTTGATCATGCTTGAGTATTTTAGGGTATTGTTTGACTATTTTTAATTTTTCGTTCAAAATCGGCCTGTAGGGGGACAGGCCCGACTTAATTCCAGCCGCGTCCGAGGCCGCCATGCGGCAGTACAAGGAGCACGTCGACAAGTGCATGGAGGTCTTGCCGTGGCAGGAGTGGGGGGAGGACTACTTCCTGACCCGCTGCATGGCTCCGGGGGCGACCGCAAAGCCGCCGGGGGCCCCCCCTCTCCCGGGTCGACGCTCTCGGTATGTCACGCTGGCGTGCGGGCGTCTCAGTTTCGCGCACACGGACGTATCAGTCTTTCCACGGGCCGCGGCCTGCGGGCGAGCCGCTCGCGGACGGCTCGGTTTGTTTGCATTGAGCCCGCGGTGGCTCTTTCCTGTTTTCCGCTGCTCCACAGCGGCCTTCCCACCGAGGCCAGGCCGATCGCAGGAGACAGCCTCCGCCGGAACGACGTGTTCGGTGCGGCCCCCCGGGGGTCCCCCGGGCTCTGGCCTGCGCGCTGCAGGCTTGGCCGCACCGCGGTCCCCTGAAGCCGCGCACCAGACGCCACTCCTGGCCCAGGGCCTTTACTGCGTGCAGTTTTCAGGCCCAGGTGGCGCAGTATCGTTCAACCGACCCCCATCCCCATCCTCATCGCCTTCGATCGAGACCCCCAACAAATTACCACCACAGTTGGGGATATACCCCTCGAAGCCCGAAGGGAACGGCCTATATCCCCATATATGGGGGTAAATCGGCCAGTGGGGCCCAGGCCACGCCGCTGGGGATGGGGGTTGGAGAAACGATGCCCAGTGGAGGGAGAAGCGGGAGTCCTGGCGGCGCCTCCAGCGCCCACCCTGGCGCGCTCCGCGCGCCAGGTGAGGCGGTCCAGCGCCGATCCGAGAAAGCCGCGCGGAACTCTGAGAAGTCGTGCTGCCCCGCCCCAGTCGCCACGGCTGGATTCGCCTCGGAGTCCTTGTCAGCATGCGTTCCAGGAGAGGTCCAGGAGGAGGCTCCGGCCCCCACGCGGGAGCGAGGCAGGAGGCGGACGCGAGGACGGACGAGGAACGAAGCGGGCGGAACGCAAGAGCGGGTCGGGGGAGGAGGAGGAGGAGGAGGAGGAGGAGGAGGAGGAGGAGGAGGAGGAGGAGGAGGCGATGGGTCTCATTTTGCCCCCCCCCAGGAGGAGGCTCTGGAGTTGGAGGGGCGAGGCTCCTGGGCGCTCCATAGGTCTCTGGCCTCGGGAGGTCTCGTGCCCCCTCTTTCGATTTGCTGCCCCTCACTCCTCCAGAGCCCCCTCCTCCCCAGAACGAGCCCGCTTTGCACCGCCCCGAGGCAAGTGGTGTGAACCTCCTGACCTCCCGGGCGTGCGGCGGATTTGTTTTTGCTTGTCACTCTGGGCGTCTTCCCTGTGTGTCGGCCTCCGCGGGACGTGTGCGGGCTCCAGGGCGGTCAAGCCGGGATCCAGGACGAAGGCAATCCGCCCCCGGGGGGCCGGGGGGGGGGTCGAGGCCTTTCGGGCCCGCGGGGGCCGAAAACACGCGTGCGTCGGTTGCTTGTGGCCTCCGCGTGAGTCGTTTTCTGGAGCTCCCTGTAGAAGCCCTGCGGCAAGACTACCCAGGACCCCCCCCCTTTTCGGTCCTCCCCGCACTGTTCCCTGGCGTCGTCTTGCATGCGTCGCTTCGAACGATTGTGTACATATTCGATCTCGGATTCGACCGGCCCCATCAGGTTAGACTCCGACGGCCTGATGCGCGCAGATGCTTACACGGCGTGCGCATCGTGGCGCAGTCGGTTCGGTTCGAATTCGACTCTGTGGCGACGCAGCTCGATTCGATACTCGTTTCGACATGTTCTGCTGAGGGCTTATATGCTGACTGCTCTTGCCTCCCCAGGACGAACTAACACAACGACAACTTTGTAAGCATGGACTTGCGGATGTCCGTGCGGGTTTCTTGGGCCGACGATGGACCTCCCTTCCCGCTCTAGGCGCCGCCAGGAGGGGCACGGCGTCGATCCAAGAAGTCCGCGTGGCCCGCCGGACGACTGCGTGTCACGCTGCTGCGGGTGTTCTGTGCACCGATCGATCCGTTTTGCCGCGTGAGCGCTTCGAGGTTGACGGTCGCCGTGAGGGAGCTGGGCCCCGGAGGGGCACGGGTCCTGTGCCCCAGGGCTTCCCCCAGGGGCCCGCTCTCCATCCCTGCAGCAGTTTCCCGACGGCCCCAGGGACCCTTCACTCGGACGGGGGCCAGGTTGGTGGTGTACACCCGTTCCGGAGCGTCCCGGAACGCTCTCAGCGCGTTCCGGGATGGTCCGAGCAGGCCGCGGCGCCCGATGTCTCCTCTAGGTCCGCTGGACATCTCGGAGATCCCCGATTCGTCCTAGCCTGAGTTCATCCTCGTCTTGGCGTCGCCTCAGAGGCGGTGTGGGTATACGGGGTCACCGCACGGAGCTGGGGCTCGGCTCGTGCCCTCCGAGGATGGCTCGGGCGCCTGGAGCCCTCCGAGGCCCAAACGAACGTGGTGGCGGACCCTGTGGTTCGGAGGCGGATCGGCCTCCTACCCTGACACGTCGACTGAGGAATTGGCCGTTTTCGGTTCGCGAGAGGGCGTCGCGGCCGTCATTTTTGCGGGTCCAGGTCCGTCGGTGTCGGTCCCAGGCTGTTTTCACTCAGGGGAGGTTTACTGAAGGGAGGTTTGTCCACCGCCGAGCGGTGAGGTCTCTGCGGATTTCGGGGTCACTGGTCACCGCCGGGTCTGTCACCACACGTTTTTGGGATCCCCAAGGTCCGTCGCCGACTCAGGAAGTCCTCGCGGACCTCTGGAAGCTCTCTTTTGCACCTGCAGGTATTCCTTCTTCTGTCCTTGGCCCCCCCCTTTCCGTCGTCGTCCTCGTCCTCCTCCTCCTCCTCCTCCTCCTCCTCCTCCTCCTCGTCCTCATCCTCCTCCCTCTCCTTCTCCTCCTCCTCCCTCCTCCTCCTCCTCCTCCTCCTCCTCCTCCTCCTCCTCCTCCTCCTCCTCCTCCTCCTCCTCCTCCTCCTCCTCCTCCTCTACTTCCCTATTGGTAGGCGCTCTTTGCGAATTGCACTCTGCATAAGTCTAGGCCCGGCAGATGGGGCTCCCGACCCTCCTCGCACGCCCTGCAAATTCCGCGGCCGCCAGGCCGGAAGTGTGCTGGTGCTCCTCTTGGGTATCCTTCCTCGTGCGTTCGACGAAAGTCTGGAGGGAAAAAACACGCAGACACAATTAATCGTCGATTCCAAAGACAATATGGGAAACTATTGGAAGTGGGGGGAAGACAAAAACCCCCAACATATGCGAAAATATGGGGAATTAGTTTTGTTAGTGTGTATTAATTTGTGTGTCCTTGGGCCCCTTCAGACAATTGCATGCCGCGGTAGGCAGGCCCAACGTGTCTGGCTGGTCCGTTGGGATTCCACCTCGCGTTCTCTGGTGGGCGTTGCTCGAAGCAGAATCACCTGTTGAGAACTGTCGTCGCCCACGCGCCAAATGGCGCATGTCTCCGCGGATGTCGAGGCACTGGACTTGTCCTGGGGTGCGCTCTGGCCAGACATCGCAGAGGAGAGCAGCCGTGGCGACAGGGGCGTCCAAGAGAGCCCAAGACGGCCGAGAAGCGCTCAAAGAGTTCGATCCTCGATCTCCGATTCTCCATCCTCCTCCTCGATCGATCTCGTCCCCGTCCCCAGGATCAGATAGACGTGGGCCGGATCGAGGACTACCAGCTCGTCGGCGACAGCACGTGCAGCGGCCCGCAGCAGGCCCCGCCAGGGAAGGAGAAGGAGGAGGAGGAGGAGGAGGAGGAGGAGGAGGAGGAGGAGGAGGAGGAGGAGGAGGAGGAGGTCGAGGAGGAGGAGGATGAGGATGAGCGGGGGGAGGAGGAGGAGCAGGAGGAGAAGAAGGAAGATGAGGAGGGATGAGGAGGAGCAGGAGCAGGTGAGGAGGAGGAGGAGGAGGAGGAAGAGTAGGAAGAGGAGGAGTAGGAGGAGGATGAAGAAGAGGAGGAGAAGAAGGGGGATGATGATGATGATGATGATGATGATGATGATGAGGATGAGGATGAGGATGAGGATGAGGATGAGGATGAGGATGAGGATGAGGATGAGGATGAGGATGAGGATGAGGAGGAGGAGGAGGAGGAGGAGGAGGAGGAGGAGGAGGAGGAGGAGGAGGAGAGGTGGCACTCGTTGTTCCCATCTCTCCATGATGTGTTATGCTGACCAGTTGCTATCTTGTCCGTTCTCGTCCTCTCGGGCATCGTCGAAGACCATGGCTTCTTGTTATCTGTGTTGCCCTCTGCTCCTGATGCCTCACCTGGGCGCGGGGTAGCGTCCGATCTGAGTATCGCCTTGCGCTCACGCCAGCGGCCTGCCTAAGAAAAAGGCTGGGGAGGAGGGGCAACGGTAAGGGGGGATGTGCTCAAGGTTTGGATTCGTCGACCCCCAATCGCCTATTCATCGCCGATATGGCCTGATAGCCCATCCCACCCAGGAGACCGTCTTGGTTGTCATGCAGGCAGCTTGCACCATCTCGGCGGCCTTGGCAGCTTGCCTGGACCGTCTTGCCTGGCGGGGAGGGGGGGCGATGCACGGGAGGGGGCGCTGGTAGAGGTCGGGGGAGGGAAAGCCACCCAGACCCAACAATTTGGCGTTTATCAGACGGCGTCGCGTGTCTGGGTGAACATTATCGGGGTGGATTTTTTGCCCTCGAGGACGGGGAGGCCCTTACGTGGAAGATGACAAAAGCCTTGCAGGGTAGCACGTGGCATTGTGCCACGCCTCAGCGTGCCAGGCGGGCACGGTGGCGGACATGTGAGCACGCGGGGCCCCGAGCTCTCGACGCGTTCTGGCGGAGCGGTTCTTTGCCTGTGCCGTTGGGGTTGTTGTCTGAGCCTGGGCAGGGCGAACGTTTCGGACGCCCAAGTTGCAGAACATCTGCACCCTTGATTGTGCTCAGGAGGTTGGACGTGGGTCGGAGGAAGAGGATCGAAAGGAGCCGTGCGCCAGTCCTGGAATGGCGACTGCAATCTCGGCCTTCTGGCCGCGTTCCACCCTTTCAAGGAGATCGCCCTCGTCGTCGTCGCCGCCGTCGTCGCCCTCATTTCGTGGTTGTCCTCGTTCTCTTCCTCGTCCTCAGGATTGCCCTTCTCCTCGTCTGTGCTGGTTCTTGGTGACCTCTTGGGCCTCCAAAGACCTCATGCGGCCTCCCTAACCAGAAACCTCTACGTAGATACCTCCTGCTGTTCTTTCTATCTTTCTTCTTGCCCACTGGCATTCGACGCCGTTCTGTACGTCGTGGTACCGATATATCGCCACCGATACGTGTACCCTATACCGGGTATTCCGTCAGCGTTCAGGACGCTGGACAACGGCAGGAAAGCGTCACCTCCGCGTGGCATGACGCAGGAAAAGGGTAGAAACAGCGCCGCTTGCTTGCATCGTCGAAGTCACCCGTCTGCTGACTACCCATCGTGGTGGCTCTTCTGAGAGGTCCCCAATAACCCCTTGAGGTCTCTCCATCCATGGGGTTCCCGTCTGCCCCCCAGAGGCACGGGAAGGTCTGATCACACCCCGAGAACGCTCATCTCATTCACCTCCCCCCTCCCTCGTCGTCGTCGTCCTCGTCCTCCTCCTCCTCCTCCTCCTCCTCCTCCTCCTCCTCCTCCTCCTCCTCCTCCTCCTCCTCCTCCTCCTCCTCCTCCTCCTCCTCCTCCTCCTCCTCTTGGTTCAGATGGATGGAGCGGGCGAGGGACGTCCGCCCCCTTCGAGGACCACATCCTCTGGGTTTCCCCGAAGCGCGTGAGGGACAGTACTCCAGAGCACGCCGGGTCCCTAGGGTACCGACGAACACAGAGGCATCATCGCACGTTTGTGGTCCCGCTGCGAGGCGTGCAGGCGCTGCGAGTGGAACCAGACACTGGCACAGTGGAGCTGCATATGCCCGGGTTGCGGGCACCCCGTGCAGCTGTTCGCGGGGAAGAATAAGAAGAAGGTATCCTTCCACACGGGCGAGGGCGCCGACGACGACGGGTTCGTGGACGCCGGGGGCGGTGACGAGAACGATGTGCGGCAGCCCTTGCCCGCAGGGCCTGTGGGCATCTTGAGGGGAGGTGCTCGCGGCCCGTCCCCGTCAGGGAGTCGTTCGGCGGGAGGCACTGGCCAAGGGTGGCACTTCGCAAATACGACGGCTGCTTCAGCAAGCATGCGATGCCGCCAGGGTCCCCAGCTTCCCGCAGGTTCCCAAAGCCCAGATCGAGCAGCTCGCGAAGGTCAGTAGCACGCCCCTCGCTTCGGAGACACCGGTGGATGTTCTGAGGCGCAATGAAGGGGCTGTCCGGAGTGCAGGACACTTGCGCGAACAAGTTGTCAGTAGTGTTGTGCGCTTGCACAGTAATATTGCAGCTGCTGAAGTTGAAGAAGACGCAGCAGCAGCAGCAGCACGGGCTCTTGATGTTTGTGCGGCGAAGAAGGCAGCCACGGCCGCGTTGGCCAAGGCTGAAGGCGTGGGCTTCGAAGATACCAGGGCGCCCCAGCAGCTCTTCAGCATCGTTTGGGGCACCACGTTCTTTGAGGGCCTCGACACGCTTGAGTGAGAAGATGGAGCTGCTGGGCAGTCGTAAGCAGTTTGAGGAGGCGCATGCTACCTTCAGCGGCATGGAGGCTGCGACGCGGCGGTGGCTCGAGGAGACGGAGAAGCGCAAGGCGGCGATCCACGCGAGGATGGCGAAGAAACGCCGAGGTGCCGAGGGGCAGGCTGCCCCGCCTGATGCAGCAATGGGCGAGACGGGCGCGGAGCCCAAGCAGGAGGCGAGCGGCTCGCAGGTGCCAGTCCCAAGTGATGGTGGCGACGAGGACCTGCAGCGCGAGGTCAATGAGGAGGCCATAATGCAGGAGGCGATGCGGCTGTCGGAGGCCAAGTTCGAAACCGAGCAGCTGCAGGCCAAGGCGACGGGCAAGGGCGCGGCATGTGACGCTGGTCCTGGTGGCGGGGCTGCGCCAGCGACTCCCGGTGCGTGACAAACAGGAAGGGTCGCCCTTCAGACCCAGACTGCAGGGGCGTTTGTCGAGGATGCCGAGACCATTATTTACTATTCGAACATCGCCGACTTGTGGGGCAGAACATGGAAACTCATTCAGCAGCGATCACGCCACTTGGCCCTCGTCGAGACGCATGGGCAGCAGGGGTCCGAGGTCCGAGAGTGGGGCAGCACGGCGCGCCAGCTTGGGTTGCGCGCTGCAGGCAATCGAGCTAGACTGTCAGGCAATATTGCCTTTGCGGCCAGGCACATACGATCCAACGAGGACGGACATATGTTTTTGTCACGCAATCACTTGCAGTGCCACGTGCTGCCAGAAGCTCAGGTGGCCATGACAGCCCAGGGCAGGTTCAGAGAAGCTTCGATTGTTTTCTCCCGATGTTGACGCATCAGTCGGGCTTCTTGATTGTCACTGTTGTTCTATATTCATTCCCAAGCATCGGGATGGCAGGTCGGGATCGGGAACGGTTTCGCCGACTCGGAGGCCTGTTGACGGCGATGCGCGTTCCCTGGGCAGTGACAAGAGATTGGAGCATGACCCCAGAGGCGCTGGTGAAATGTAAGTTTTGTCAGCAAAAGAAGGGTGAGGCCGAATGTGTGAGATATGATCTTGTCACGAGTGAATCGGCGGCGCCTTCAGTGCGTGGTCTTGTGCCTGTTCGGACGTTTTCTGGGAACCTCATGTCGGGCGCGTCGCGCGTCTCGGCGCGTCGGGGCCCCGCGCAAGCTGCCGCAAGTGCAGCGACCTAAGGAGGGGGCCGCGCTGGGTTTGAAGCCCAGTCTAGTCAAGGCCAAGGCGCATGTAGGTCGCGCGGTCGCGTTCGACAAGAGAGCGGCAGTTTTTCATTGGCAATTCGGCGACTGCCACCAGCAGGTCGCAGGGTCGAAAGTTCAGGAGGGCGAAAGGCCCCCCTGCGAGCCTGCCGATTCTCCTGGGCCTGATTTTCCGGACCCCGAGGAGGGGGGGGGGCCCTTGGGCGAGCGAGCGCAATTTTTGTAGCGATGGCAATCTGGTCGCTGCGTTTCTGAGCGCTCCTAATCGTGGGGGGATGGCCCTGCCCAGCGGCGTGCCCAGCGTGCCTCTGCGCGTCCGCTTCCGGAAGGAACGTGAAGTGAGCCTGGCCCCGAGCTTGCTGAGTATACGGTTGCGCGCGAGGCCCGTCGCCCCAGCGTTGAGCCCCCCCCCTAGCCGAGGTGAGCAGCAAGTTGACAGTAGGTCCGTTGCAGCGCCTGGCTCTCAAGCGCCCCCCCCCCTGGCACCTTGCGCTGGAAGGGCCGCGGTTTATCCAGAAAGATCGCGTGGAAAAGTTCCCGGACCCACGTTTGAAGTTCCCGTCGAGACTTGGACTGCAATCCGGCGCTCTGTGGGATTTTCCTTCGGAGATCAGATTGTGCAGCGGGTCTGTCCCTTCCTCGCCCCCCCCGTAGCATTTGGGCTTGGGGCTCAGCAAATCGTTGCCATTGCTGGCGCGCGCTTCGGGGGTCTCCGCCGTCGAATTGGCTGTCCGCGCACATCGCGGCGCCCAGGTCGCCCCTGGGGCCCCGCGTGCCCCGGGGGCCCGGGTCTTCCAGGCAACGCGCGTGGTCGCGCGTGCGCGGGCTCTCCCGCTCAGGGATCAACACTGTCAACGGTGGGCAAAAATGCGCGCTCTCTTGCACGGCGCGGCTAGGCGTCGGAGCCGCAGCCGCGGTGCCAGACAGCTGCAGGACATGCACGCAGCGCGCAATAAACTTTGAGACGATCGACCAACTCAGGCCCATGGAGTGCTCAACCCAGAGCGAGACCCTCCTTGGGATCAGTGGCTGCAGATACGTCTAGATCCTGGCAACATAAACATTGCTGTTCTGGACTCCACTGCGGCGACGGCCGAGCGCGTCATGCGCGGGGCGCAGCGGGCGGCAGCCAAAGAGTCGATGGCTGAGTTTCAGTCGTGGGTTGCCGACCCAGTGGCGACGGAAGTGCTGCATGACCCCCCTCGACATCAGCCCTTGGCGGCAATGGAGTTGGCATTGGATGGCGAGGTTGCAGCATCCAGCGGAGGTGATGCGTACTATAGCAGAGGAGTTCAAACAATTGCGGGCTCCGACGGCCCCGCAGGCATGTGAGTTTCGCGAGATTGTCCGAAGGGTGCGGTCAGCAGCGGAGTTGGAACCTTCGCCGCCCGTCCAGCCTGAGCAGATCTACGCAGGCGAGACGGCCACGAAAGCAAAGGCTGGCATAGGCGTAGATATTCTGCGCCTGCGTATGTTTAACGATTGCCGATCCAGACAATGCGCGGTGCGAGGGAGCGTATCCCCAAAAAGTCCCAAGGGGATAGGGCCATGGGCCTGGTCTCGATGTTTGGCAGGCAATGGCCACGCGTTCGTGAACCAACTGTGCGACAGTGGCCAACTCGCGTCTCCAGGAGACCTACCGCAGGGCCATCGACGAGGGGCTGGCAGCCTGGGTGAATCTCCAGCTCGGCCACAGCATCGTGGACGTGCAAGGGTTCTACGGCTCCATGCCATGGGCGCCGCTGGTCAAGGCAGCGCTCGAGTTGAATCCCCTCCCGACGGCGCCCCACCTAGAGCCGTTGCAACGCGTGGCGGCGCGCGCGGCGGAGCCGGGAGGGGCAGCTTCTGACGCGTGCGAACCGTGCCAATCAGTTGCGCAGGGCCTTAGGTCGGGCACTAGATTGGCGAGGGTGCTCGCGCATTTGTTTTGACTGTTGTCACTTGTGCGACGCTCCAGATGGCCCATGGAGTCTGGACTGATGCTATATCGTTGCGCATGACTGGATCGAGACAATCAGCGCGGAGCAGCATGGTCAAAGCAGATGCCACACCGGGCCAGGAGTTGGCTGAAGTGGGTCTGGAGGTTGAAATGAAATGGGCGGTGCTGCGTTCTCCAGCTCAAGATGCGCAGGCGATCGCGAAAGCGGTAAGGTCGCAGGGTTTCTCCATGCGTATGGCTGAGCAAGCGGCCTGCCTAGGAGTCGATTATAGTCGCGGCAAGCGGGGTCGGAAAACCAGGCGGCAGCGGCG